ACACCTAATTAAATATACAACTTTGACTTCAGTCAAAGCCCTTGTTTCACTGCCAGAGCCAGGCCCCCACTTCTCCAAGGTGTCCTTGATTTCTTCCAGCTCAAATGATCAGGTTAAAGGAATCCTGCTGCAGTACAGAACCAATTGAGGAGTACCATAGAGAGTTATTAGAGGCTGACAAGATTTCAGATTCATACTGATAGGATCCTGACAGCTTGTTTTGTATAAGCAGGATTTCCAAGATGGAGCTCTTATATAAGTAGAAATTACTTTCTTGAGGAAATTTTGGTCCTCCCACTTTCCCAAGCTGTCCTTTCAGAAAGCGTTGCAAAGTGTCCTTTGGCTAGAAGGACAGAGCCAACTTTGTAACAGGGATTCTGAAGCCACAGCTTGTTTTGGACAATCAAGAAACAGGGATATTAGCTCTATCAGAGAATACCCTTGGAAAGAGGGGCTTTTAAGCATGAATCTGGGCTTTGTCCTTCTCCTCCTCCTCCTCACTCCCTTTTTCCAAATCACAGGCAGCAGAATGCCAGAAAGCACAAGCAGAAGAAGGTGTGATGCTCTGAGGCCCAGCCTGGGTTGTGTTACAACAGGACAAGAAAGCCCTGAGTGTTAATGATGAAAACCAGAGTTCTAATTACCACTCATGTTACTCTCTGCTCACGGACCAGCTATTCTAGAATGTTTCTTCCCCACCTCTCCCTAGCGAGCTACAGACTGCTTTAGGGCACTGCAGCACCGGCTTACACACTCTCCAGCGCACTACTAGGGTTAGTATTCCCTGCAACACAGGCACCCATTTACAGCAGGAGCTTCTTCTCAGTGAAAGGTGTTCGTTCACACCCCTTCACAGTTATTTCTGTGTGCCGCACAGTGAGTGTTTCTGATTTTTCTCTTCCATGTGAATGCAAATGTATTCCAAGGAGTGGGCATGAGCTGGTAACTCCTGAGACTGACATTTGAAATTGGGTTTGTCTCACCTGCGGTTCAGACACTTACAGTTGGAGTTCATTATCGACGCTTACTGTCTGGGCAGCAGAGAGAAACAGGATTTCCTGAGACGCAGTGCATCTCCTTCTCAGGTAAACCCCCTTCTCTGGGTGTGTGTTTCTATCCAATGGCTCTGGTGTCTAGATCTCAAGGTCCAAAGTATGTGAGCTGAATCCACCCTTGCGTAAAGCAGATATTGTCTCTGCCCGTGTGGGAAGTTTGTCCACTCAGTTGTGATCCTTCCCTCTAGTCAGTGCTGGGCATTAGAGGGCAATCCCAAATGGCCTCTCTGAGCTGGGAACATCCATCCGTGCATTACAAGGGGTTCATACAGGGGCAGGACTCTCCTCCCCTTTGTGCTTCAACACTGAGTCCTATGCTTACGGGTGGGTTACGTGATGGGTGGTGACCCAGTGACGAAGGAAGACCTTTGAGTCAAGACATACACATACTCTGCGCAGAGCTGCCCTTTCTCAGCCACCAGCAAATGTGTGAGTTAGTGCATGAGGGAAGGCAGCAGGGCCTAATGGCAGAAGCAAACACATCCATTAATTCCTGTTTTTTGGAGGTGCACCAAAGAATAAAGGGTTTCTGCCCTAGCCTGACTAGAATAGATCCCAATCATCATATAAGAAGCTCCATATCCATTCAGCTTTCCCCTAAACTATCCATTCCCTCAGGCTCTTCACTCTCTGCTTTTAATATATTAAAAGAAGAAAGACACTTCCTAAATCTGACAGGGTTTCTCCCTGTCCCTGGCTGGAGTTCCCTGGGTTACAGGAGGACTGGAGCTCTTTGAAAAACACACATAGGTGGGAGAGGAAAAGTCATTAGCACAGTAAAACCCTGGTGATACAAAAGATCCATTCAGTGATCCTTCTGCAAACTGCTGTTCTGGCTTCATTAAAAGCATAGCCCGTGGCTGTCACTCAAATAGGCTGGATTCGCTTTGGGTTATCTAAATGAGAATGATCGTTTCTGCAATGGGAAAAAAATAAAGAAACCAGTAGGAATTATTCTTTATGAATTATGTGCTCAGCTTTCATACTGACCTATTGAGTCAGCACTGAGAGCTGGATTTCCTAGAGCATCCTTTCATGCTGGATTTTGGATATTTTCTTCTTTTCAGCCCAGGAATACCACTAGAATGGCCTTTCTCACACTAAATGACACTGTGGACTCCGGCTGCAACTTGGCTGCAGCAGAAATAATGGAGTTTAGAAGCAGTTATCCAAATCATTCATCCTTCTGGTTTCCAGCATTCTTTTGTGGCTCCTTCCCAGTCTGGATTGTCAGCATCTCTCAATGCGTATGACCTCCTGGCATCTGGATTAAGTGGGGAAATGTTAATATCTGGTGTGGAAACAGGCATTCAAATTGAACAGCTAGCTCTGACAACAGAGCGATGAGCCAATTTAGGTAGCTGAACTGACAAACCACGATTCCTTTCTTTTATAACGAAGTGTTCTGCCTTTTTAGCTGCTTGAACTGACTCCCTATGGGATTAGAGGAGGCTGATCCCTGGTACAGGCAAAGATGGCAGGAACATCCTGCCACGGGTGGTTGGGAGGAGCAGAGCTGTCTCTGTCAGAGCAGCAAGGGGTTATATGGACTTAGCCATACAGTCACACAGCGTGCCTACGGCCTATCCCCGGCTTCAGGTGCTTCCCTGACAGTCGTCTCCCTCGGAGTTGATTCCCAGGCGGCTGGGTGACCCGCTGCATGCCCATCTTCCTACGCTGAGGCTCAGTGGAGCCCAGGCAGTGCTCTGGAGGTGTTTGGCACTCAGGAAGCGCTTCTCAGGTGTGCTTCTCCCTGCAGTTTCAGTCACCGCACTATCAATCTTTATTAATAACACTGAAAATAACTGAAAATTACTTTTTTATCTTATATAAGCCTGTAGCAGGGTCTCTGTGCGCTGTCACCACTGCCTGGTGCCCCGTAAAAAAGTTGTGTTTACAGGTTTATTTTGCATCTGAAGAACTGACAGTTAATCCTGCTGTATCCCTCAGGAAATGGTGAGCTTGGACAGGCGTCACCGTGTGCTTCGCATGGCTCACTGGGAGGTCAGTTTTACAGCAGCGCTGGGAGTCACACTGTAACGAGAGGTGTGGTGGCAGGTCAGAAAACAGCGTGACCACGCAGGGCTGGAGCAGCAGGGCAGGGCCGAGGTACAAGAGCAGAGCTGCGGAGCGGGGCTCTGTAGGTGACATAGCAGAGAGGCTGTGGGCTGGAGTGGAGAGGCTGTGGCAGGGCTGGTGGGGAGTCCAGGACTGAGGGAGCAGGAGGGGCTGCAGGATGGGGTAAACAAGGTCTATGGGAAGCTTCAAGCTGATATAGCCGGATTAGGACAGAGCTGACTGAACTACGCCCTGGAAGGGAGTAGTGTCCTACAAGTCAGGGTGGAAATGCAGGAATAGAGCTGGGACATGCAGCCTCATCGGATTCACAGGAGTTTTCTTTGGTCCTCACATTCCTTTGCTTTTTGTTCCCTTCCATGAAATCCAACTAGGACATTGTGTCACCAGATTGCAGGCTAGGCTGCAAAAGAGACAGGCTGTATGTGCCTTCAAACTATGGGGAGGCCTCCTGAGAAGGCCCAACTACAGCAGCTGACAGCACTGAGTCCCTCTGCTTCGCTCACACACAGCTGTCCAAATATTTCACTCCTCCTCTACCAGAAACAGCAAGACTCTGTGTGTGGAGCAGCAATTAGCATTTCTCCAGATGAGGCTCTAGGGCAGGACATCTTGGCAGGGCTGGGGCATGGCTGTCAGGCCTCCATCCGTCCCGGCTGTGTCACAAATTGCTGTGGTGACAGTGCAGCGTGTGGGAGAGGATGCCACATGTGTTCGGGGTCTTTGTTTTCAGGGTGATGCAGTAAGCTTCTTTAGCTGGAAGCCAGCACACTGTGAGGACAAAGTGTATGGTCCTTACTGGATCCAAACCGTTGCCCAGTGACAGTTTGAAGGTCTCCTCTCTTCACGAGCTGTGTTAATATCAAAAGAAGGGGGTCTCTGTGCTGAGCCACGCTCTCCAGAGCCCATCTCTCACTGTGGCATGTTATAAGGTAAGGAAAACCAAACCTGGGCAGATACGTAGCTCAGTATAGCAGTGGCTGGCATGCCCGGTGTGTCTAACTGTCATCACAAAGCAGGGCATAAAAGAGCCAAGCACCCACAATGTCTGCACAACACACCACCCACAGGAAAAAAATAGTGTCCATCAAGTAATTCTTGACTGCATATGCAGCTTTGCTAAGAGGGCACCTGGATATCTCAGCATGTCCTGTTTGTGGCTAGTACTAGGGACAACATGGCCATAGACTCCCTTTGCATTAGAGAACTGACTGCAGAGGTGTGGTTGCTGTTGCCTCTTTACAGGTTTCCCAGCTTCCTTGCTAAGAACTGCTATACAGCTCTGCCATGTTTCTCCTTTCCTTGCCCACCTTCACGTAAGACTGGAAGCAATACAGCAGCAGAACACAAGAAATACAAGAAAATAGTTGAATCAGATCCTCATGTAGAAGTCTCTGCTGAGTTTGAGGCTATTCTTCCTTGCATTTGATGCTTGCAGAGGCTGCATCTGACATCCAGTAGAAAGACAGCTTCCACCATGGGTCAGCGTGTAGCATATATTCAGCAAGAGCAGAAATCAAAGAAGGGCATTGCAGTTAAAAAGACGTAATGATAGAGTTTATTTCTGAGGAGTGGCTGATGTTCCGGAAATATTTGTAACCAACTTACTTTGTAAAATGAGTTATGAAGCTTTTAATGTAAATTAGTAGGCGAAATCAAAGGGCAAAAGGGGTGAATGCTTATGATTTTGTATTTTAGTTTTTAATCTGTTTTTCAGCTGGTTCTGCTTGCACAGTGTGACTGACCTGAGCTGATGCAGCCTTTTCTGTTACTTTAGCAAGGTTCTTGACCCTGATACTGCGTCTAATTATGTTGGGTTGGTTGTTTTGGGGAGCTGCCATCTAATCTGCTCCCTCTTGGCCCCTGCAGATCTTCCACATGACCTACGATCTGGCCAGTGCAGTGGTGCGGATTGTGAACCTGATTGGGATGATGCTGCTGCTGTGTCACTGGGATGGCTGCCTCCAGTTCCTTGTGCCTATGCTGCAGGACTTCCCTGACGATTGTTGGGTGTCCCTCAACCGTATGGTGGTAAGTTCTTGCCCCGCTTGCTCCCTCCCGGCCCTAAACCCAGGCCCCCGGTCACAGCATCACCATTTCAGCATCCACCTCCCAGCGCTAACACGGCATCCCCCAGCTTCCCATTTCCCCCCACCTCCTTCGAGGACCTCCCTCCAGTATCCAGCAGGCACTTGTAAAGCCACGGCACTCTGGGCATGGAGGATCTTTGGAGGCAGTCTCTGCAACGAGGCAGTCTCAGGGCTGCAGAGCAGGAACCAGCCCCAGCAGAGCCTGCTGCGGGCTGCCTGCAGCAGAAGGCAGGAGCCGGGCTCCCCCTCCTGGCAGGAGACAGCAAAGAGCAAGAATGGAAACGGTTTTCTGCTGGGATCTGAGCGTACTGAACCAAAGGCAGGAGGCAGAGAGGGTCCTGGAGCCATAGCTGGGTCTGATCCATAATTCCCGTTACCGGTCCCAAGGAAACTGGTAAGCCTTCTGCACAATATCCGCTTGAAGGCTCGGTGTGATCACCCACCCTTCTCCCTGCACAGTAACCCATCAGAGTGGGCTGAAACAGACTCTGCCAAGCTACAGTTCGGCCTCCCGTCATGGGATCAGTAGCCAGATTTCCCAATAACATCCCAAGCTGTGCTGCTCACTCTGCTGTTTGCTGTGAGGGAGATTTATACCATATGGTAAATGCAGGGGGAGTTCATGGTACTTTTCAACCATCTCGCTGAGAATTCAGGATCTTTTATTCAAAGGGACAATGTCCAGTTGATTAAGCAGCAAAAACTGACAAAGCTTAAAAAATTGCCTCTTATTGCAGCTCTTAACCTCCAGATTCCCCCAGCCAATTTCTTCTTAAAAAAAAATAATAATCGGGCACTCGGGCAGAACAGAACAAATGTAAAATGTATAAAAGAACTGCCAATTTGCCATACCTCCCACATGCAGAGCTGTGGGCACATGCCGCCCATGCCTGAGAAGAGTGAGCATCCACGAAAAAGTTGTCTGTTTGGTGTTTATTTATTCATTTCTTCCCTCTGCAATAATCATTCACTTCCTGCTGTTGAAAGGTGCCAGACTGACAGTTCTGGAGACTAGAGCCCTTTATTTATCTACAGCAGAAGAACAGCCCATGCAGCAGCTGCCTTATCTTCCCCCATGCTGCCTTTTTATTATTTATATGGCAGGAGCAAGGAAGGATCAGGGCCCCATTGTGCTCGTGCTGTTGAGGTTCAAAAGGACATACAGCTCCTCATCCTGGAGAGCTCAGAGGTGCAGACAGAAATCATCCCCATCCAATGAAGTGACTGGGCCATGGTGCCCTTGCAGGACAGTTTCAGCAGCACATTTGAGCCATGTTTCCTTTATCCTAACATTTGGGTGGAGGCTGCTGTTTGATGGCAACAACTTCTGTTCGCTTTTCCCACCCATCCCTGGGGGAAGAGGTAAAAGCTAGGATTGACAAGATTGATTCACAAGAGTGAGTGGCACACTCAGCTCAAAGGCCAGCAGATGAGAGCTGAAACACAAGCTGCAAGGCAAACTGAAGAGTCCAAACAACCAGGTCTGCTGGCAACTGGTGCATGGAAAACCTTCACAGAAGACAATAACAAGCAATGGCAGACAGACATGGTGAGAGGAAGAAGAATCCAGCGGCTGAAGCGCTGACTGAAAGTGGAACACCTGGGTTCAGTTCCCAACTTTGTTCTGCGTGATTCAAGTCAGATAGGAGGCTCAGAGAATTGTTGTTCTCCTTCCCCAGGTATTTCTGAGGATAAGTGCGTGCTGTAATGGTGGGTGTCTCAAACAGTCTGAGAGACCTGGGGCTGTACTGAGTCGGTTGCACAAATGCATGGCACAAGCTAATGCAAATTGGCTTTTGGACACTTTTCACTCAGAGGCCGTAAAGCCAGAAAACCACTCGTGTAATCCAGCGGAATGAAGAGCTGCAAACATATTGGGATCAGAGCCTGATGAGGAGGGAAACAAAGCTAAATTTATATAATCTAGGAAAAGTTCCCTGGGCCAGAGTATGATCAGAGCTTATAAATGACCATCAAGGTAACTGTAGTGAAGGGACAGGATCTTGAAAGGTGGCAGGACACAGGGCAGAGGAAGAAAAGATTTAGCCTAGGCACCCTTCTTAGCAGCAAGACTGAGGAGAAGGGGAAGGATGCATCCCACAGGCAGGAGGACTCAGCAGTCTCCAGGAGAGGCAGGGTAGAAAGTTTCTATCCAGAGCAGGGCTTTACCAGGCAAGGATTCATGCTGCAGTACTTGTCTTCCCAGCCTTGAGAGCCTGTGAAGCTGGGAATTAAACTTGCCTTGTGTGGGTTTTTTTTTCCATTTCTCCTCTGCAGCTAAATCACCTTCACTTTTTCCACTTAATAAAAGTGAAAAAAAAATAAAAATTATCTCAGCGACTGTCTTAGAACTGGAGCCTCAGGAAACTAGGATGAAGAACTGGAGAGATGGTTTTATGCCCCACCTATAGTTCAGCTGGCTTCCACTCCAGAAGCTGTACAGGAATATGCCAGCCCCCAAAATAGCCTGGTTTTAGAACATTTAAGGGAGAATAATTAGTTCTTCTGGAATTAGATAATTTCTTCTCACAATAAGCTTCTGTCCTCTAATCTCCTGAGAGGATTTCCAGATGTGTCATTGGGACCAGTGATGGATGTGGATGGCATGATTAGCGCAACAATGTACGTATAGTCTATAATAAAGTAATAGGAGAGGCCACTGAGTCAGGAAACAAGAAGAAACTGGTGGCCTGGGCTGTTCTCGGACTTTGGTGCCAAGATCTTGATGGTGGTTTGCAGAATGGCTCTGTTTGAGAGCTGCGGTGGACAGGGTTGGGAGGTGGGAGGCCAGGATGGCATCTGTTTGTGACAGAGAGTTGGTAGGTTGGATTTTGGGACATTCTGTACTGGCCTGGTCAGAGTTTTGAGGAGATAAATACACTTGGTGCACGACTGCCCTGATTACACACAGGAGCCAGAAAGCTGGGATGGAACCACTGTAGGAGGAAGAAGGAATCTTCTGAAGTTACTACAGCCAAGGGGAGCAGAAAGTGAGGTGCCAAATGCCTTGGAGACTTTCTCCTTGACTGAGTAGCTGGTGCTGCTTTTCCACCTCTCTGGAGTTTCCCAACTAGCCACTTGGCAGCCCATAAAACCAGCGCTGATTCCAACGCAGCAGGGCAAGAAGTTTCATCACCTCCCATCTGCTTCGTAAAGGTTTGATCCTCTTCCAGGGGATCTGTGAAGGGTCTGGTGTTGCCAAAATCATATCAGGGACTCGATAAATTCCCTGGGTCCAGTTCATCTTGGTGTTTTCTACATGCACCATGTTTCATCTTTAGCAATTGTAGAAGGAGTGAGTCTCTGTATGACTTCTTTCTGAATTGGCTCTGAAATGGCAGGGAAGGATGTTTTCAGTATTAATTGCTTAGCCCCAGTCTCAGGGGCTTCAGCATTAGCTTCCCTACAGGGCACTTTATTAAAAAGAGAAACGCTAGTGAGTCAGCTGCAGAGCGGCATGTGTGCAGGCAGCAGCATCTCCCCAAGACCCTTGCCTGGCAGCTCCTCATCAGAGAAATCTGAGCTCTGCCGAGACCTGAAAGCTGCTGGGAACACGTGGCTCGCTCCCTTGGGTATTGTTGCTGAACTGATAAACCCTGCAGGGAAGGCAAATATCCCCATGTCAAATGCAGCGACCTTGCATAGGAAATGCTAATCATCTTCCTTTCTACCAAAAGAAGGAGAGTAGCTTTCCTTTTGAGCTTAAACCCCTCTCCCCACCCCCCAATACATTCTTATAGTGTTGCTGATAGAAAAGAGGAAGAGAAGCAGAGGCAGCATGTGTTGTGGAAGACAGAGCAATCGTGCATAGATCTCCTGTGTGATTCCTAACTCCCCCCAAGCCTCTGATCCACCAAATCCCTCACTCAGCAGGCATGTGAAGCTGTGTAGTAGATTATCATGTTTTATAAAATCTATCAGGGAGCAGCAAGAGTAGGGCTGCTCCACGATGGGATATAAGCCAAGAGCCAAGGGTGACCCTTGCACGAGCAGTGTCCTCGCCAGCTAGGGCACAGTCCTACCTGCCCGAAACAGGGTGGGCAGAGCAGAAGTGGTGATAGGAGGGTCCATGGACCATTCCAGTGAAGGCAGGGTGACAGTCATGTCCAGGGTCCACCCAGGGAGCCCGGTTAGGAGCAGCAAGAGATGGGGTCAGAGGCAAGGCCGGAACCAAGCCTTGTTCAGGGTCCAAGGGCTGGGCACAGGTACACCTCACTCAGGCAACGTCTGGGTGCCCAGGCCTGTGCTGAAATGGAGCTCCAGGAGCAATGGGTGCATGAGTAGGGGTCCTAGCCAAGGCTGACTGGAGCAATGAAAACATACCGGTGCACTCAGGGTCCTGAGAAAATCTGTTGTGTTAGGTGAAGGCCATGGAAAGCTCTCCTTGGAAATAAGCCCAGAACAGGCAGGTTCTGTCCGATGTGAAGTTTGACCCATCATCTCTGTCTCTCATCCCACTATTCCCTTCCTTTAATCTAGATCTGAAGGTCTGTTTTTCCCTGCCCAGCACCTAAAGTGCTGTCCAGGAGAGGGCAGTGATGTTCAGAGGCCTTATTTTGCGGCTTGACCTAAGTGGTGCGCAGTAGCAAACCCCGAGTAGCAACTCTGTGGCCAGATAAGTTCACTGCTGAGACAAATGTGGGAGTTCACAAGATTGAAATATGCCTTTTCCCTGTGAAAAGTTAGTGGTGTAAGTCAGGCATAACATTGTGCCCAAGGACTATGCCCCTACCCCAAGAATTTGCCAGTACTTCTCTGTGTCTTTACTTCTCTCTCTCTAGTCTTCTCCTGTGAGGGTTCAACCACGTACAGTCACATGTACATCAGACCCAGAACATCTTATAAGACACTATACTGTTTCTTTACGTGCTTCTGTAAGGTACTGCAGAACCCAACACTGCCTTTGAAGAGTTCCAGGAACGTGTCTCCAAGTTTTCAAGGGTGGATCTGAGCAGAGGCATTGCAGTCCAGACACTAATCCCAGAGAAACCCTTCTAGTACTGCCAGTGTGGATGTTAAAAACAAGCTAGTCTAAGAAATCACTTCAAAGTAACTTTAACTGCCTTTTGCAAATGCTCCTAGTGCCTGGCACATGTCTGAGATAACATCCCTCTTGACTATGTTCAAGCACAAATCCGTAGCTCCATTTTGGCTTGCTTTAAGATTTATTTAACGAGGAGTCATTTTCTTTCTGCAGTTTAAGACCTCATTTATCTACCCTAATGGACCATTTTAGCCACTCTGGTGTGTTTGAAGTAGTACAACCCTCCCACTGTGGGGACTGCCAGAGTATAGGGGCATGGCTCTTATGGAAACAAGCTGTATCACTGTAAGGCACCGTGGTGCTAGTAAACTTGTGTCCACAGTAAATTTGGAACCACTACTACTAGTCTGGCTTAAAGTACTGCATTCTGGACCTGCCTGCTTATGCTGTGGCAAACAAAAGAAAGTAGAGCAGGCCTAAAAAGTAAAGCCATACTGAGACCTATAAGCAAAGATTCATCACATAGACTGTGCCATGAGGATCCAGGGTTCTTTACAGATGCTCAAAGAGCTCAGAGGTTGTGTCCTAAAGGTAATTGCTCTGAAAGGTTTCCCCTTCATGGAAGTGCCACTCTTTCAGCAGTCCTTGATCTCTTCTCCCAGCAGACCACATTGCTCAGGATGGTTTTTTTAAACGCTCTGTGTTTTCCTCCAGCTCTCGCCCCTCTGTCATTACTCAGCGATCTCCTCAGTCTGGCACGAAGCAGGCTGTCCTCACTGGGAGCCATGCTGCTGATGGGAATTGGGGTTGTGACTTGTAAGTGTAGAGTTCCCAGGGAGCCAGAAGTGTTTCTGCAGGCTACAGGGGCTCAGTGATACTGGATGTTGTAGTTTTGGATGACTAATTCCTACAAAACACAGGCAAGCTTCCTTGTAAACAGCACTCTGAGCAGCAAGTTTCTGGAAGAATGGCTTTTAAAACTTGAACCTGCCTGATACCCAGATGCTCCTCTTAGGCTCTGATCATTTGTGGCCATTAAAGACCCTGGCAGTCAGTTTGCTGCTATATCAAATTCCAGCTCAGCTGTTCTTATTCTGTCTCCCCAAATTCCCTTGGCATTTCTTTTCTCTCTGCTCTCAGTGCTGTTGTGGAGATGTGCCTGTGTCTTGCCTGTTGTCTCAGGGTGACAGCTTCCCTGCTGAAGCATGGACAACAGATGGGCTAAAGCTGTAGAGTTTACAGCATTGGCCATTCTGGAAGTGCGGGGGCCACAGCTTCGTGACTGCTAGTACTACAGGGCTGAGGGAAACATAAACGGTGAAGATGCAGGGATGCCCGTGTAAGGTGTGTGAGCTGCTTGATGCCTTCAGAGGTCAGAAGTTGCTCTGCAGTATGCCACAAAACCTGGATGGTAGAAAAACGGGCCCTGCACACTTGTCTGGCCAGGACTCTAGGAGCCACCTAGATGTGGGTGAGGCGAAGGAGTGAGAAGATGCACTCCTTTGGTGCTTACACCTCAGACAGCCCTTGTGGTCTGATCCTTCCCACTGCCCTGTGCAGGCAGCAGAGCACAAATGCTTTTTGCTTTCATCTGTAACTGGCTCCCATTTGGGCTGCAGCTCCTCGCACACTGGCGAGCCAGCTGCATAGCGAGAAATAGAGACAGCAATGGCCACCTTGTCTCTTGGCTCTCCCTTTTGACTCAAGGGTAGTTTTTTCCAGTGCAGGAGGTGAACAGGTTCCTGCTTTGTTAGGGAGGTGAGCCCAGACAGGCTGGCGCCAGCAGGGACCAGCGTCTTCTGGGGCTGTGAATGTGCTGCTTCTTCCGTGTCCGCTTCGCTGTCACTTCTGTTGCTTTGCCCTTCTCGTTGCATTGTGAATCAGGCCTGTCTTGCATAACGTAACGGAATACGGCCAGGGTAACGCTACCGCCTGTCTTTGTCCATGTGCTTATCTCCTAACCAAGCATTAACACTCTCCAGAGGTTCCAGCTCTTTGCCACAGCTCACAAACAGCAACAGTACACTTTGCTTCTGTTTACTACTTTGTAAGCTTACTGAAAAATTTCCATCAACATTAGTGACACTCAGAGAGAGCTTTTTGCAGAGAGGTCATCAGCCATCCACCTGACTGTGACGAGATCCCTCCAAGGAGGTGTCCAGTAAACACCAGAGCTCCCAGCATTACTGGTCACTGGTGCTGAGGTTGCCGCATCTCTCTGAATGGAGTTCACAGAAGTATCGCTTGTCTATTTGACAAGCCACAAACAAGGTCTTCTGTACAATGACCTTCTAAGTTGCCATGGTACGTGTATCTACAGAGCTATATCCATAATGTTAACACCTTCCTAGGAACAGAAAGAAGACTGATGAATATACAGATTATGTGCTGCAATGAATGTCACTGTAGCAGAAGTATTTTTTCACATACCTCGTAACAGCAGCGTGTGATGACAGTGCATTTACTTTACAAGGTTTTGTGGCAAGGACTTGCTAGTATATAATACCCACAGGATAGTAAATGTACCTTGAGCTGTTCCATGAACTCAGGCTAATCAGAATAATCATGAAACTTATGCTGTTTTTCTCCCTGTCCTATGATGTAATTGCTGAGTTGTGTCTTGTGGTAGTTGCAGTGAGAGAGCACAGGGTGTCCAAAAGAAGCCGTTGACTTCAGCTGGCTTCTCACGGTGGTTTTTTGCAGCTCTTGGATGAGAGCATTTGTAGTTTTCTCAGCTCCCTGAAGAAAGCCCTGTTTTACACTGAGAGGAACTTGCTGTCTGGACATTATCATCTTAATTTTCTGCCCTTCCCATCTCTTCAGGTAATGACCAGAGATCCTGACCATTTCCAAAATTGCTGGGGAGTGATTTTCCCCACTCTAAGATCTTGCTGCTGGCAACTTTGCTCAGGCTGTCTTTTACCAGTTCTCTGCTGAAGTCCATTTCTCAGTGGAGTAATCATTTGCTTCAGTTCCTCCTCCCACACGTGGGTCATTTTGAAAACATCCCAATGCATCATCTCAGTTTATCCCAGGTTACCAGTGTGTCAGACTATTTGACTTCCTTTCTGTAAAGTTTTGCTGGAAAGAGTACATGGAATCTGGAAAAACCCTGGCCAAAGTCAGTTAATGTCAGATGACTAAATTTGGGCTTGTTTTTTTTTTTTTTTAAACTGAGTATGTCCAGCACTTCCAAGCCATCAAAGAATTAAATTGCTTGTTTAACATATAGAGGTGCTTTAAACCTGGACTTTTGGGTCTAATGTCAGGTATCCTTTTCTGAAATGTGTTCATCCCAGAGAATGTCTTGTCCCACTGCTAAAGCTTTGTCTGTCTATCTGTCTCTTTAGAATGACTCCTGGGGGAAGCAGTATTCCTATGCGCTGTTCAAGGCAATGAGTCACATGCTCTGCATTGGCTATGGGCAGCAGGCGCCCGTTGGCATGTCAGATGTGTGGCTCACTATGCTGAGCATGATTGTCGGTGCCACCTGCTATGCCATGTTCATCGGCCATGCCACAGCCCTAATCCAGTCTCTGGACTCCTCACGGCGTCAGTACCAGGAGAAGGTAAGGACTGGGCTTTGCAACCCTTCTGTGACCCAGGGGTGGTTTACGCACTGTCTGGAGGAAGCGAGGGCTGTCAGTGACCCACGTGAGAGGCCAGCGGTGCGGTGTCTTTGTTACCTCACAGTTTATTGGTAATTCAGACCCATCCATTCACTCAAACAGACTCTCAGAAGGAAATAGATGCAAGATCAGATGACTAATAGTAGGGCAAGTGGGTGATTTTTGTTGTCTCTGACTGTCTTTTTAGATCAACGTTATCAATGTCACTGGTATCTAAAATTGTAAGTCACTTTTTCCTTTCCGAGATCTTGTTTCAAATCCCAAGTGAATGTTCCAGAATGTGCAGTTTTTGTTTAGCAAGTACTTTCTTTCAAAGTATCCAGATTATTCACTTCAGTGCTTGTGAGTGAAACTACGTAACAAACCCCAAAGCATAGATCAAAGCTCAGGAGCTCCGAACAGGTTCCCCAGGTAGCTATCGAATTAATTGCACAGTTGTTAAACTGCGTAACGTAGGGCACAGACAGAAAGGTCACAACCGATCAGGTTACCACTGTGGCGGCAATAACTGGTGGTGGTGGGATTAAGGTGATGCTGTGAATTTGTAAGATGGTAAGGGGCAAACAGGGTCGGTCACTGTGATTCAGCCGATGAAGGATAACTCATGGAACTGCATCGATTCCTTCTCTCTTTCCATGCCTTCAGTATATTGCTATCTGTACAATGACATTTCGTTACTGAAAGCAAAGAGGCTGCTGGTGCAATGATACTTTTCCCTCTAGGACATAGGCAGGCAAAAACTTCTGCCTTCAACTTCTGGTTGAATCAGTAGGCTTGCACCTCCGTGGAACAGGAAAGCTAATTGAAGAGCGACTGTGTACAACTAAGAACAAGGTCCTGGGTGGCTCAGAGGTGAGGAGGGGACTTCACCACAAGGTAGATTACTTTCAGGCATCAACAAAAGCAATTTCCCTCAATTAGTAGGGCTGAGGATACCATAGGCAAGGAGGTGTTACAGTCAAGGTCATATAGCTACATTTGATTTAAGATTAAGAAGAGGAAGAATTAGGTGCTAGCCCTATTCTGGGCCGGCCAGGTGCAAGTGGATTAGGTGGAAGGGTAGCTGTTACTCAAGTGGGTAAAATATGGTTAGCATGTGCAGGCTAGGTGAATTTTAAATTCAGGGAGAAGGTGGGAGAAAGGATTTGTTAAATGGCCTAGGACCAGTTTTGAGACACAGGGATTACAACGCTGGGCCACAGAAAGACCTTGCTGTAGGGCAGAGAGTGAAAGCAAAGAAGACTGGAGGCTGAATCACGCTTTGAGGATAGGGAAGATCTCAAATGGCAGCTGGAGCGACAAGAGGGAAAAGCCCAGGAGAAGAAGTGTGGAGGACTGGGATGCAATTAGAGCACTGGGCTTTGTATAGAGTTTTACCACTGTGTTACAGATTGGCTGGACGAATTCTAACTGAGAGTAAGGCTTGGCAAAGAGGAGGACACTGCAGCACTAGGAATGCAAGCTGATCAAATCTGTGTATGCAGAATATTTATTCAAATGTGTTTGAAGCAGCATAGAAGTCAAGGACTGATTTGCAAATCCAACCACCTGGTCAGCCCAGCCTCAGCCAAGTTTACACCTGCAGGACTGGGCACTATGATTTTTTTTCCCCAGCTGGGTCTGAAGACAAGGGCAGAACTTGATCCTGGAAGTTGGATTCCGGTCAGTGTTCAGGGAAATCAGTCACCAGGAAGTCAACAGGGACTGTGGCTAGGGTGGCAGAAGTGTGAGATGTAAAAGCCTGATTAGAATGTGGAGATGTAAATGCGAGGGTTAATAGATCCAGGAGAAAAGCTTTGTGACAAAAGCAGAGGGTAGAGGATTTAACAAAGTGTGTATTTCATGTGTAGTGGTTATAGCAGGCTAATTTCCCAAGGTATTCTCCTAGGAATAAAACCTCAGGGATTGAGTACGTTCATTTTCCTCTTGCAAATGGGACAAATGATGGCCTAAAAACAAATATGTATTTACTTTCTGCATTCCTTAGCACTTGAATAGGCATGATTAAAATGAGGCTGCTTCGTGATTTGCAGCCCTGCAACTCAATTTAGTTCAGTCCTCATGGGACAATGTGTCTGTTGAAGCATATTATAAGCAAAGAATCTCAACAAGTTTGGAGGTCGATCGGTAGAAGCAGACAGCAGTTTAGAGTCCTTTTCGCTGCAAACAGGGCTCTGCCTCTCACCTCTGCAGAGGCTCAGGCTACAGAGGCTTTAGCAGCTGTTCTGGGAGTCACCAAAGAAAGGGGAGACAGTGGCGAGGGAGAGCAATAGTAGAAATAACATAGTAACCAGACAGAAGATTATAGCTAGTAACTGTACTGACACACTTTGCTTTCTGTAACCTTCAGGACAAGGTTCAGGAGTGAGTTTGCGGTGCAGTTTCAGATTATCTAGATCTCTGCCAAACCAACTTGTTCTTCCCTTGTACAAACAGGACTTTTGAGAAGAGGAATAAAAGCCAAGACGTGCTCTGTTGGCTTCAGTAGCAGGCCTGTCTCACTCTGGGTTGGATTCATTGAACATTTAGACACTCAATCCCTGCCCTGTCTAAATACCCTCCTGTAGCATCTGACTTCATGCTATGCTGGTTTCGGCAAGGCAGGGAATCCGTATAGGATCGATGAGGTGGTAGGAGGCCTGGAGAATTTGGAGGGGGAAGTTGCGATCTCCAAGACAGCGTAGTGCCAAGGTTTCTGAGTAGAAGTGGAAAGTCCCATGTGGCACAGAGCTCTCACACCAGCTCAGGCACTGGAACTGGCACAGCTATCATGTATCTATGGCTCTGTGCCTCCCTTAAAAAGTTATGAATCAGAATAGCTCTTTAGATCTGGCACTCTGAAGTGACTGTTTTATTTCCAGTCCCAGAGGCAAAGTTAGAAGGGGCCTGTCTGTCCCATCTTGCATTGCAGAGTGTGTTATGCCCTAAATTACTTGTCCATGGTCACAGAGAGAGTCAATGGCAGGATCAGGAGCTGGCTCTTGTCTCTTAAGCTCAAGCTGGTGCCTAACTCCAAAATATCTTTGCACCTAAGGTTGGTGTCTATTTCCTACATGTGAGAGAATATAAGTCCATCCTGAAGGATTCTGATAGAAAATTTTCCCAAATCATATTGTACACTTACATATTATAACTGAATTGATCTGATAGCTCTGACCAAAGAGGGGAATCCTCACACACCCGTTCTCACCCAGTGCTCCCTGCCACTATTCTCAACTGCACCGCTTCACTCTTGTGCACCACCTTTCATACTTCTCAGACTTTTACTGAGCTGATTTCTTTCTTCTGGGTCAGTTTTCTGCCAGATTAGTGGGTCGAGTTAGCTTACTGTAGAGTCCAGTGAGTGCCAGAGCTGGTGGAGGAGGTCCATGGGCAAAGGCAGAGGTGCAAGGCGCTTTTTAGGTATGCGTGGATCAGCTCGAGCCTTAACGTGTAAGTTCATCATTGACTGCGAAATTACCCCACAACCTGCAGTAATTGTGGCTCACGAGAGAGGAGGAGTGTTTCATGCCCAGGAGATGAAGAAACTGGACTGATGCGCAAGTTATTTTCATGCTTTTTGCAGGTTCCCCTATTAATTTCTTTCTCTAATCCTAAAGCTCAGCTGGATTAATATTTATGTCAAGTCACCACACATACACACACTTATCCTCCCCAGCAGACTCTGTAACCTTGAGGCTTTTGGGAGCGGTGATTATGCTGCTAACCACAGCCATGCTCCTTGGAACAAAGCAGAGAGACTCTGGACTTCACTCTCCCATCCCAGCAAGTTGGAAGCAGTGATGGGCATCCTGCAGAGAGGCTCAACTCTCCCATGTTATCTGCTCAGGTACATCCAGAAGAATGACTGATGAGAGGTAGGAATTGCTGCTGTCAGCGTTGCAGAGCCCAGTAAGCTTTAATCTCTCCGTCCAGAGCCTCATCTCTCAAGATCTTTCTGCTACACTGGCATTCTCTCAAGCTCTCTGCTCTCCACATTCAGTCCCCTTTCCACATTCAGATCCTCCCCCTTAAACCATCACTATCTGAACAATCCAATGAACCCCGAGCTATCTAAGGCCTCTTGTTCTTAAAATACACGCTGAAACTGCATAGATACTTGCAGATTCACTTGTCATTATTCTGCAGAAGCACCTACTGCAGCGCAGTTGCAAGGGGGCAAGCAGGTAACACTAAGGAGTGAATCACTTTATAAATCCTACAGAAGCACTAAGGATATCACCTCGCAGTTCCTGACACAACCCTGCTTAACCATCAGCACAGTCCTTGCCACAGTTTTATCCCATGGTCTGGCTATCCAAACAAAAGAACACTTTACTGTCCAACTATCAATATCTCAGCCCCAAATTCAACAAAGAGTAATTGGGGAAAATTTAGTCATTGTAAAGGCTGAAGCACGACAACTGCAACCTCCAGTCTCTGTTGGAGACAAAGCAGATGTTAGACCAATAGTCGTTAGAGGGGAAGTCAGGCATTGCCCTTGTGCCTGCCTGCTACAGTGAGAGTTGAGAGTCTGTCTTCTGGGTTTAGTCAGTCCTTGCCCTTTCTCAGAGACCAGCAGTATAGAGTCTTATTAGGCAACAGGTTTAAGGAGTGATTTTTTTTTAATGGAACTCACTGCTACAGGGTGCTGTCGAGGCCCAAAGTTTGATTAGCCTCAGAATATGTAGACAAATTCACATAAGGAAAATCTTTCAAGTGATATTGAATGCTAAGATGCAGATACAACCCCTGGCAGTGGGTATCCCTAATCTGCTTTTGTCCAAAAAGCTAGGAGGCTATGGTCAGGAGCTGGACTGCTGTCTGCCTCTTTTGTTCTTTCTCCCCTTCCTCAAAGCACCTGAAACCATCAGAGACACGCCACCAGGTGAGAGGAGCCCTCAGCCTGACCCTTCATGGCTACTCCTGTGTTTTTAGGCCGTTGTACTACGCAGTTTGGT